TGTAATGAGGCACCAGAAACAATTCAACATGTCTTATTCTCATGTAGGCGTGTGGACAATGTGTGGAAAAAGTGGCTGGAGTTGTTGCGGAGCCCAACACCTCTATGCCACTTTGCATTTTCCAACTTCTCAGCTCCACCCTCCATAGTATATTCCAAAGAGCAAACAGAAAGATGGATGGTACTTTGGGTTGCTATGAGTTGGTGTACATGGAAAATGTGAAATTGATGTGTTTTCGAACAAGGTGTCTTCGACGGACAAATTTGATACAACATGTATATTGTTGTTCTCATGGTCTTGGCTATCAACTTTGAATAACTCATTCTCTTATTCTTTTACTTAATGGCAATCAAATCCAAGCCTCTATATACTTGGGTAATGATCCTCCGAGTACTAGGGTTGGTCGCTTTGGCAATTTATAGGGGAAGCGATAGTTGGTTCAAGTTGATGTGTTGTTGGTGTGGTAGGGTGGAGTGGGGGGAGGGGTCGGTGGATTTCCGGTTAACTGCTGGTTGTAGGGGTGGGCAAAACGAACTGAATTGAACTGAACTTATAAAAACTATACTGAACTTAAAAGTAGTTCATATGAACTGAACTAAACTAAATATTAGTTCAGACGAACTGAATTGAACTATTCTTTTGTGTCATTGAACTGAACTGAACTATACTATAAAAACTTGAACTGAACTGCAATTTAAACTGCACTAAACTGTTATGATATTTTGAATTGAACAATTTTGACTTATTTATCTATCAAAATAGGACACATTTGTCAACTTTACTTTATTTTCCATTTTATTTAAATTTTTCAAAGGAAAAAAATATAAAATTAAGTCAAACAAACTCAGTGAATTTTAAGCCTAAAAATAAGTAGTTCAACATAGCTCAATTGATCCGTTAAGTTCAACAAAATTGATACAATTTTTTTTCAAATCACTTTTTTTCTAAAATTTTGGTTATTAAACTATCGAGTTAATCTATTAAGACATAACATGTTAAACACATTTAATTTTTATTTTTTTTATAAAAATAGTTCAATTTTTATAATTCAGTTCAGTTTTTATAGTTTAGTACAGTTCAACTTTACAACAGTTCAGTTCAGTTCAATTTTTTTTAAACAGTTCAGTTCAGTTTTTTTTACAAACAGTTCAGTTTTTTATAGTACAGTTCACCACCAGTTCAGTTCAGTTCAGTTCAGTTTTTTTTGCCCACCCCTAGCTGGTTGGACTCTTTTGGTCTTGAGGTATCAGTACTAGAAAATTGCAAAATAGCGACCAAAATTTATCAGTCACTATTTAGCGACTGATTGAGCGACGATTCTGAATAATCAAAATAGCGACTGATTTAGCGACCAAAATAAGTCGTTGCTAGAAAATCAGTCGTTATTCCGGTCGCTAGCTACTAAATTGTAAAAAACGTTGCAACTGAATTAAATTCGGTCGCTAAATAATAAATTTTGATTTTTTAGCGACGAAATTGAATTTGGTCGTTAATTATTAGTTAAAATTAGTGACTGAATTCAATTCTGTCGCTAAATATTAGTTAAAATTAGCGACGGAATTGAATTCAGTCGCTAAATATTAGTTAAATTTAGCGACAGAATTGAATTCAGTCGCTAAATAAGAAATTTTTATATTTTAATGACGAAATTGAATGTTGTCGCTAAATATTAGTTAAAATTAGTGACGAAATTCTATTTGGTCGCTAAATATTAGTTAAAAATAGCGACGAAATTGAATTAAGTCGCTAAATATTAGTTAGAATTAGTGATAAAATTTAATTCGGTCGCTAAGGATTAGTTAAAATTAGCAACGAAACTGAATTCGGTCGCTAAATATTAGTTAAAATTAGCGACGAAATTCTATTTGGTCACTAAATAAAACTTAAAAAAATTTATAAATTGCTTAAAAGTGATGATAATATTGTTGTTGAGTATCAATCCCATTTTTTTAAGAGCAAAACATTAATTTATAATAAAAAAAATGTTTATATGCACTCCTACATAATTAATACCAATAGTTATTTATGTGAAAAAATATTTAGAGGTTTTTTTTTACGATTGGATTTTTAGACATTTTTTTAATTAGAGTATATGAATTTTTTTTAAATTTCTTATTTATTTTGATCCATATTTATAATATATATTTCTAACTTATGATAACTTTATTTTTAAATAAATTTTTATATTTAAATTTTATTGATAGAAGAGATGTGATATCTTAAGGAAAAAAGAATTATAACATCCTCTCTTTTTCTAATAGGAAGAGTACAAATGTATTTTCTTAACTATTAGTATTTCTTTATTGTTGTGTGATAAAATTGATTATTTTAAATTATTTTAAATTATTTAACTAGAATCTTATTAATAATTTACTATATGATTTTAATATTTTTGTATAACTAATATCTGATTTTAAACTTGATATGAAAATATTATGATATAACTAGATAAGATTTTAAATTAGTATTTTATTAATGGTTGATAATTAGAAAATAAAACAAGGATAAATACATTTTTTGAATTTTATATCTTAGATTTAAGGTGAATAAATATATTAAGTTAGTTAATAATTTATTTAAAATGTTAAAATTTAATTTATAAAAATAATATTTTAAAAGAGAAGGGTTATAATAACATCGGTGTAACTTTTACTAAGTATTATATCGCTCAATAACTTTATATTAAATGTGAATTTTATAAATTCAACCGTTAGATTGAAAGTTTTTTACTCTTAGATCATATATACAAAATTTTATATGAATTCAAGATGATTTGATACTTCATTCTTGTAAAATAAAATTGACGTAATATATACATTTCAAATAAAATATGAGCACTTTGATTACTTTTAAGTTGTTGTTCAATTTTAACAAAAATTGATATAAACATATAAAGTGATATGAACTTTCAATCTAACGGTTGGATTTACAAAATTCACATTTAATATAAAGTTATTGAGCGGTGTAATACTTAGTAAAAGTTATACCAGTGTTATTATAACCCTTCTCATTTTAAAATATATAAATTATTACTTAAACTTTTAAATTTATAATAAATAATTTAAATTGTATCATAAAATTAATTTTAAATAGAAATAAGTAGATTGTTAATTATAAAAGTAAGTATATATATAAATAAAGATTAATTAAATATAATATAATTATTATTATTAGTAATATAATTATTATATATATTTTTATATATTTATAACGGTCCGGATACACGAAAATGATAAGGATCCAAAGATAATATAAGTATGAGATTGGATAGTTGAGGATGACTTAAATGAATTAATTTGTACTACTTATATTAATAACATGCATTTGCTTTTCGGTACTTTATCTCATCAGAATTTCACAGTTAAGCATGCTTGACTTGGAGGGTGACCTTCTGGGAAGTTTCCAGAAATTGTGTAATTAAGGACAAAACATGCTAAAAAGTTAAGTATTGTGAAATAAAATCCTTAAGAGACCAAATATGAGTGATTTGTAACGACCAAATTTGCGATGTCTATAAAATTTAATGAAATAAAAAATAAATATTTAGCGACCAATTTATTCGGTCACTAATTTGGTCTCATACACTTTAGCGATCAAAATCATTGTAACCATTTTGTGACTGAAATTTTCGGTCGCTAAACAACGACCGAAAATTTTTTCATCGCTAAATAGCTTAGTGACCAGGGTTTTAGCGACTGATTAAATTCGATCGCTAATTCCGTCGCTAAGATAAATAGCGACCAATTTTGATGGTCGCTAAATTGCATATTTTTTTGCAGTGTATCATTGATGGTAGAGTCTCGGTTAAGATGTCCTTCATAAGGATGATGCTCTGTTGGTGCTACTGGCTAAGGGTGTAGAGGGGCTCGTATTTACGAGTTCTGATGGAAACAAATGGATTATATAGATGAAGCAAAATCTCGGTTGCTGCTGAACATGCGTGTAAGATCTACATGTGCATGGTCTATAATGTTGAACATGTAGCAAAGTTTCGCATTATAATTGTGTAGGGTCTATCATTGTTTTTGGATTTTGTATACCATCGGTACTAAACTTTCCTTTGTTAGTTAGGCTGCTATTTACCATAGTGTAGACGTGTGGGAACCTTGCGATGACACCTCTCATGGGGCAACTACGTGAGTCTTAATTTATTGCCACGAAACTCATGGCGTGACACTTACGAGGTGAGGCAGCTGGATTGTGTGCAACGTGCAAAGGAATCATATGGTATAAAGTTTGGTTTGGTTAACGTGGTCGAGCCTCAAGTCATGCGTATATGAGGATATGTTGGCAGCAGGACATAAGATACAAATAAACACACGGGGTTGGTGTAATGCTTGGTATATGATGTGGGACAATTTATGTAGTGGTAATTATCTGTGTGAAAGTTGTAATTGGTAATTAATTTAGTTATTTAAATTAAGCCCAATTTTAATAGTGGCACAATCTTATATATGTGTTATGGTACCAGTATATAATATATATATAACCTTAAAATTATGATTATTTCAATTTAATGAAACCCAAGCATTTCATATATTTTCTTTTTTATTAATTAAAATTATTCTATTACTTATCATGAATATTCTAATATATTTCAATTGAATTAAAGCATATACGAGTACCTATGTTTCTTCTAAATAAATGAAGTACTTAATTTTTTATTTTTTCAAATACCCTTTTATGAATGGATTTTTTTTTGTTGGAAAACTTATATTGTTTTTTTGGGTAATCAAGCGATGATTGTTCTATATACCAAAATAAAAGTTTACAAATATCACATTATTAAAATAGGAATGATTTTTGTTATTATTTTTGTGTATACTTGTGTGGTTTTTATATTTTAGTCGATAGACTTGATGGCCACATGTTAGAGTTGTGCCAAATATTTAATCTCTTTTATTTATTTATTTATTTGCAGGGTAGTTTGAAATCTGACCATTACTTTCCTCTTGTTTCGCATCATCTTTTCTTTCTTTAATGCATATGTAATTCTTCCGATGGCTTCTTCGACAAACACAATTTTGTTCAAAAATCTAGACACTCATTGTTACAACTTCATAACCCTTTTTCAAAATTTGACCATAAATCTATCATTTTATTTGTGGCATGATTGTTTGTTCTTAGATACCTATGCCAAGTTAATTCCAGGAGCTTTGAAGATTCGTATCTTGTCCCTTTCACCATTTTTCATCAAGATATTATTGGAGTTATATTTTTTTTTTTGCGAGGTTAGAGTAAAAAAAATATTAAAGATCTATGAAGACGGGGGCACAAGAATCCATGTGATGTTGTTGTTGTCCCTTGAGTTTCGTCTTTTCACAGTTTCCTTGCTATTTTTTTCAAATGAAGAATGGTGCAAATGTGGAAATCATGGGCATGATATTCAACAAGTTAGTTTCCCCAAAGCTATCTTTGTATTTTGACACTTGCTATTATGTGAAGAATTTCTTACGTACTAGATTATTTCTTATATATAAAGTTAATTGGATGACACAAAATTTCAATTGATATTACTACATGTTTTGTATTTGATTAAATAATGATGCATTACGGTAAGAGTAGATAAAAATGATACATTCATTTGGGTAGTCATCTTTTGAAAACAATTTGTATTATATAGGTTAAGTTATATGAAATTGTAATCATTTATGTAACTTGATATTTATATAGTTGGCTTAAATTGTTTAGTTTCTGGTAAAATGAAAACAAGAAAAACTTTGCATTGCCGCTGAAAATAGATTTATAAGATGATGTGAAAGTAATTTTGAAAGTTTATTGCTTGGTCATTATATGCTAGATGAGACTCATGGTCATATTAACACTCTCTTAAATATACTTATATTTGTTGTAACAATTTTTTAGCTTGTTTTCAAAAGATTTTTTTCCTAACAAAATATGATTAACTATAGTTCTCACTTGTTTACAATAACAAGGTATGATTGCTTGATTTGGTAAAAAGAATTAACCCTCACCATGTATTTAAATTTATCATTTTAGTTTAAAATTTTAATCTAGTTACGTTTTCTTATTTATTTATAAAGGTGGCAAAATACAAATAGCACACTTTTTTTATACTCTTTATTGTTCGGAGAAATCCTATATTGACCCCACAAATGAAAGTTCTAATTATTTAGTGATTTCTACATGAAATTTCACTTCATAAAAGTACTTTGTTAATGTAAGTTCAACTTAACAATCTAATAGGCATTATATACAGGCATAACGCCTATTAGGTAATCAACCAATGATTTTAAGATTTTGCATTTGCATGAATTTCTTTTATTAAATGCAAGTTTTTTATATAAATTTTCTAATTTGTTTAACAGGGACATTGAGCAACAAATACTTGTGTCCAAGCCTATATTTACTAGATCGATTCAAAATGATTTTCCTTTGGCTACAATGCTAGAGTATACTTTGAGCATCGTTCCTTGTAAGGACTTTGTTGATTCAATTCCTAGTGAGTTCCCATTATATCTGGCATGTTCATGAGTGTGGTTAGAACGTGCAAACATGCAATCGAAAACAAATGTTGGAGATGGTTTTCGAGTAAGTGTCTCAAGTACACCTAGCAATTCCAGTGGTGGATCTGAAAAAGATGAAATATATTCATTTCGTGATGTTTATATATGGGGAGAGGTTTTTACAAATGGGGTTTCGCTTGATGGGATTGGAACTCAAATCCCTTCCAAGGAAAATGTACTGATTCCTAAGCCTTTAGAATCAAATGTTGTTCTTGATGTTTCGCACATTGCAACTGGTGTCCAACACATTGCTATGGTAACTAGACAAGGACAAGTGTTTACTTGGGGAAAAGAATCAGGGGGAAGACTTGGTCATGGAATTGATAAAGACTTTAACAATCCTCGTCTAGTTGAATTTCTAAAAGATACTAATTTTGAATTTGTTACATGCGGAGAGTATCATACATGTGCTATATCTAAGTCTTATGAACTTTATACGTGGGGTGATGGAACACACAATATTGGACTTCTTGGCCATGGTTACGAGGTTAGCCATTGGATACCAAAAATGGTTAATGGTCCTTTGGAAGGACTTCAAGTTGTGTCTGTTGCATGTGGCTCATGGCATTCAGCATTGACAACCTCAAATGGAAAACTTTTTACCTTTGGTGACGGGGCATTTGGTGTCTTGGGTCATGGAGATCGAGAAAGTGTGTTGTATCCAAGGGAGGTACAACTATTAAATGGGTTAAAAGCTATGAAGGTTGCATGTGGAGTTTGGCACACAGCTGCTATTATAGAGGTTGCATTTCAATCTAGTTCAAATACTTCACCATGGAAGCTCTTCACATGGGGTGATGGTGACAAATATCGTTTAGGTCATGGAAACAAGGAAACATACCTTCAACCTACCCGTGTTTCTTCACTCATGGAATATAATTTTCACAAAGTAGCATGTGGGAACACAATGACTGTTGCTCTTACTACATCTGGTCATGTTTTTACCATGGGAGGCACAGAAAATGGACAATTAGGAAATCCTTTGTCGATTGGAAAAATGCCTACCCTAGTCCAAGATAAGTTGCTTGGAGAGTTTGTTGATGAATTATCATGTGGGGCACATCATGTTGCTATCTTAACAACAAAAGGTGAACTATATACATGGGGAATGGGTGCTAATGGAAGATTGGGACATGGAGACGTAGAAGATAGGAAATCTCCTACATTGGTTGTTGCCTTGAAAGATAGGCAAATAAAAAATATATCATGTGGTTTTAATTTTACATCATGTATATGCATCCATAAGTGGGTCTCTACAACTGATAAATCTGATTGCTCTAGTTGTCGACAAGCATTTGGGCTAAAAAGAAAAGGGCATAATTGTCACAATTGTGGATTAGTCTTTTGTCATGCTTGTAGTTCAAAAAAGGCATTGAAAACTGCAATGAGTCTAACACCAGAAAAACCTCACCGTGTGTGTGATAATTGTTATGTTAAGCTTAAAATTGTAAATGATAATGGTGCTTCACAGTTAGATAAAAATGCTACTCATTCTCATTATTCTATAAATAGAAAGGAAATATCTAACCAAGAAACAATAAGGTCTACAGGAACTCTCTTGTCTATCATCACTGAACCAGTGAAATACCTTGAGATAAAGAATACAATTCTTGAAAGTAAAAGTTATACTACTTCCTTTGTACGAGCTTCTCAAGTTCCATCTCTTGTACAATTGAAAGATATTATATTTCCAAGTTCACTTAGTTCTACATATAGTGTTTTAAGGCCTACAATACCTCCCAATCCGTTACAAACTTCACCACCACCTACCACTTTGGTGCCCATATCCACACACACAAGAAGTCAAAGCCCAATACGTGCTTCCATTCCTAGATTTTCTGGAAGTCTTAGTGATAGTTTAAAAAGGACAAATGAACTTTTGAGTCAAGAAGTTTCAAAGTTGCAGAAACAAGTAAATTTACAACAAATCATGTCCTTTGATTTTGCAAAAATATATTTTGTCTTCATTAGCAAGTTTATGAATATTTCTTTATATAGATTCAGAGTTTGAAGAAAAGAAATGACATGCAAGACATGGAAATTAAGAAGCTTAACAAAAAGTCTACAGAAGCTATTGCCTTAGCTGCAGTGGAATCTTCTAATCATAGAGTAACAAAAGATTTTGTTGAATCTACTGTATACCAGGTATCTACATTCTATATTTTTATACCAAATAACATATTATTAAAATATTTTCATTTGAAATTAACTAAAAATGGAATAAAAAATTATGAAAATATGACAAAGTTAAGATATATAACATTTCAATGTTGCTACTAAACTAGAGACAAATGGTTTGAGTAAAATCATAATTGGCTTGCATTAACATTTTAAGCTTAATCATTTAGAATAAGAAATTATTAACATTGTATAAAATAAAATCTAGGAAGCTAGTAAAGATTTTTTTTCTTTGTTATCACAACAATGCTTCAATGAATTTATGCTTTCTTCTCATTATTTTATCAATTTTTTTTTGTATAAGGTAACGTGTTAGACATATTACTCTTTTTTGAGTTTGTAGTATATACCTAATATTTCAAAACATTTGTCACCAATTTTCCTTTCAATTTATGGCAAATGGAATAATATTACCTATAGGATAAAGATAAAGTAGAAAAAAGTTATAAATTTATTCAACTAAAGTATTTAGATTTATTGTTTTTGGCTTTATTCAGTTGAAAGAAATGATTGAGAAGTTTCCACAAGAAACTACAGAAAGTAAAAATTTCAAATCTGTGCTTACTCAAGTTGAAGACTTTCTGAAAGAAAATTTAGAATGTAAAGCATCTTCTTCACCACCAAAGTTGGGGTCTATGAAGCAAAATGCACCAGATATATCTGCACCAAGTAGTGACTTCTCCAAACTACAAATAGATAGACTTGAAGAAAATGTGGATGTTACAAAAGTTGATCCTTGTTTGAATAAAGGAAATTTCCTTAATGAAAGTGAAAAATCAATGTTAGATCCTAAACAACAAAATGTATGTGATCTACCTACCTTAAATAGTGGCTTTTCCAAACTACAAAAATATAAACTAGAAGAACAAACAGATGGTATAGGAGGTAATCAATGTCAAGATGAAGGAAATTTTGTTGAAGAAAATAATAAATCAGAGTTAGAGTCCAAACAACAAAATAAACCATCTTCAAATGTTAGCACTTCTGAAATGCAAGAACACAAACTAGAAGAGTATGCCATAGAAGTTGACCCTTACCAAGATAAATGGAATTTACTAGAAGAAAGTAATACACCTAATATGCTTGCCTTAATTAGTGATGTTTCTGAATTACTAAAGGATAGACTAGAAGAGAATGTTGAGGTTACAAGAGTTGATCAGTCCCAAGTTGAAGGATATGTCCTTCAAGAAAGTAATGGTTCAAGATCGTTGGAGTTTTCAAGTGGAATAATGCCTCCACAGAACTTACATAATTGTTCAAGATCATTGGACTCCTCAAGATTTGAGAGACAAGGAGAAATACAAGTTATTGAAAAATTTGAACATGGTGTTTACGTGACACTCGTGTTACGATCTGATGGTATCAAAATTTTTAAACAAGTCAAATTCAAGTAAGTCTTATGTTTCAATTTACTTTTAGTTTGATTTGGTATTTGGATTTGAAATAATTGCCTCAATTTTGTAAAATTGGTGATACTTACAGATTTAACATAGGGCTATTTTTCTTCCATTATTAAGAATATATATATATATATATATAT